GGGGCAAGTTTCCCCCTCCTGGCCGTCGCCCCCCTCTAGATGGGATCTAGAGGGGCCGTCCCCCTCTCCCCTTCACCCTATAAATAGAGGAAGGATGGGAGGGCTGTAGCACCCCTTTCCTTGGCGCAGCCCCGCCCTCCTCCAACACCTCCTCCTCCTCCGTAGTGCTTGGCGAAGTCCTGCAGGAGAACCACAAGCTCCACCACCACGCCGTCGTGATGCCGGAGCTCTCCCTCAACTTATCCTCTCCCCTTGCTGGATCATAGAAGGAGGAGACATCCCCGGGCTGTACGTGTGTTGAACGCGGAGGCGCCGTCCGTTCAGCGCTAGATCGGATCTTCCGCGATTTGAATCGCCGTGAGTACGACTCCATCAACCGTGTTCTTGTAACGCTTCCGCTTAGCAATCTTCAAGGGTATGAAGATGCACTCCCTCTCTCTCTCTCTCTCTCTCTCTCTCTCTCGTTGCTAGCATCTCCTAGATTGATCTTGGTGACACGTAGGAAATTTTTTGAATTATTACTATGTTCCCCAACAAAAGGGTCGTGTCGGTGGCCCCGGCGCTCGTTATAGCAATGGGGCGGCTGCGGCAAGGCTAGCGGCTACTGACGACCCTCCCGTGCTTAGATCTAGCTGGCTAGGGCACATTCCTGCAAAAGGGTTCCTTTTTGGGTTCTAAGGAGGAACTTCAGCCCTCATCGGTCAGCGGTGTATGTGTGTCATGGTGGCGGTTGAGGAATGGTCTTGGTTGCCGGGACGACACCCATGGCAGATGAAGTCATGTTGCTCATGAGCGGGGCGTGCGGCTCAGGTGCGAGTTGGCTGCCATGGCCGTTCTGGCGGCGTGGTGGAGTTTTAGAGATCTAGCGTATGTGCCGGGGGGTAATCCTTGTCAGACTTTGGTCGGATTGAAGGCGACGGCGCCTGTGGATGTTGCCTCCTCTTCCTGAAGGCACAGTCATAGGAACTCTCCTCCTTTGGATTGCTCCGGATGAAAACCATGATCCTTTGACTCAGGTGTTGGTTGTGCTCCAATGTCGGTACATTCCTGAAGGCGCCTACACTGCTAAGTACTACCGCCGCTCCGGATACCACAGGGGAAGGGGCCCACGAGGAAGTGGTGAAGTTTGACGCCCTCTCGCTCTATCCTATCTATCATAGGATAAACTTTGTGAATTTGGCATCCTATGTTTGGTTAGACTTCCTATGTTCGATCTTTTGTGAATTACATATGTGTTGACGTACGACAGACTTCAGGACCAATAATGCCCCTTGGTGGTCCGCCTGTGGGAATCGCAATGCACAAAGAGCAAATCCAGCAGGTAAACACACAAAGATTTACCCAGGTTCGGGCCGCTGTGAAGCGTAAACCCTACTCCTACTTTAGTGGATTGATATGTCGAAAATGACCAAGTTACAAGAGAGCGCAATCTTGCCGGCAAAGTGCTCGAAAGTGCAGCTACGTAGTGCAATTGGGCAGGGTGTCGACCCTTCTAAAGGTTGCCATGGGCCTCCTTTTATCGATGAAAGGGGCTACCACAGTGGCAAAATGGTAAATATAGAGATGGATAGTGGCTACAGTAAGCTGCAACGTCAAATACATAATTCTAATGGATTAGGACAAAAGCATTAAATGCTCTGTTAGGTGTCACGCTGAGGAGAAATGCCGGCAAGGTCGTCCATGTCCACCTGTATCGCTCGCCCAGCTACCTTATATTTCATCGACACACCACTTGGACGGTTATCACTAGAGTTGATCTTTAGCCACGGCGTTGCCATGTGCCCCGGCAAGCTTCACCTGACCACCTGTCGGCAAGTTCTTGTTTGTTTCCACCATGGAGCAGTGCGGAAGAGCTTGTCATCCCAAAGCTTGTCGGTGCCTTGAATCTTGATCTTAAGTTCTTCTTTAGTACTTCTCGATCCCCTTCCTGGAGGTTTTCTTCGTGGTATTGATCACCAAGTCTTGAGTATTGTTAAGAGCCGTCCTCTGACAAGCCCTTGCCCTTGCCGTCGGGAAGGCTGCAATTGTCTCCGCATAAGTTAGGATGCAAACACCCGTGTCAATACACGGACAGTATGCTATGTCCAGTTGTAAATTAAACTTTGCTATGTCCAATTGTAAATAAATTTGCTATGTCTGATCTATGATCTATGCTATACTTTGATCTCTTTATTTTGTTGACATCTGCTATACTTTGATCTTGTTGTGTGGAGTTATATGAGTTTGGAGTCCGGATAGACGGGAACGACTGCTGTCTACGGACACGTCTGGATGCGTAAATGACTTATAGCTTGTATATACGCTCTTGATACTTCAGAAATGAACGCCCGAACCATCCCGACGACGCAAAAGAGTCAACAGCCCCGAAGGGGACGCGCGGGACGAGGCAGGGACACACCGCTCGCACGGCACCCGGTTGGAAGAAAGAAGAAGAGTCCGCGCGGATCCGCCCCGGCCGCGTGGGCGGGCACGCCACGATCCGACGGCTCGCGCCGACGATTTTTGGCACGGCACCGGCAAACGCAAAGCAAGCAATCAGGCTGGCAGGAAAAAGGATCGAGGAGGAGGTGGACGACTCCGCCCGCACACCCCCGCGCCACGGACAAAACCACTGGTAGTAGTACCACCGGAGAAGGGGGCAAGCGCGCGCGACGCGACGCGACGCACGCGGGAGAACGAAGCCCCCCACTCCCTTCCTCTCCTCCTCCCCGCCCCGGCATCGAGGCTCCCGGCGGGATGGGCGCGGGGAATGGCCTGAGCAACGGCGCCGCGGCCGCGGCCGAGGCGGCGCCCGACGGGACCACGGTGTTCCGGGCCACGGCCTACTCGCCGCTGCGCACCACGCTGGCGCTGGCGCTCTGGCTGGGGGCCATCCACTTCAACATCCTCCTCGTCCTCGCCTCCCTCTTCCTCCTCCCCCGCCGCGTCGCCGCCATGTCCGTCCACTGATCCACTCCCCCCCATCCTCCTTCTTTTGCCGGTTAATCGTAAGCAGCCCTCATAGCTCCTTCCGATGGCGCAGGGTGCTCGGCACGCAGCTCTTCTTCATGCTCGTGCCCCTCAATGACAAGAGCAGGATTGGACGCAAGATCGCCAGGTTCGCCCCCCTTCCCTTCCCCCTCCTCTCCCCCTTTCGATTCCTCATCCGTGCATTGCCATTGCTGCCTGGATCTCACATTCGGTGGACGCCTCTGCAGATTCATAAGCAAGTACGTCGTTGGGTACTTCCCCGTCACTCTACATGTGGAGGACTACAAGGCCTTTGACCCCAAAAGAGCTTACGGTGAGCTTTCCTTCCCTGGAGCATGCTTGGATCAGCGTATCTACCCCCTTTTTTGGGTCTACTCAAATGAAAGGGTGAAGTAAACGATGAGCAGGAAAGATTAGAGCCTGCCTTTTTTGTGCAGAGCCGCCCGATTTGTAATTTTACTGTTGTATGTTTGCAGTGTTCGGTTATGAACCGCATTCTGTTCTGCCCATCGGCCTTGGGGCCCTCGTGGACCTTGTTGGATTCATGCCATTGCCGAAGACCAAGGTTCTTGCAAGCACTGCGGTGAGGAACCCTCTCATTACCTTCCTAAATGTGCATTGTCGGTGTCTGATTGAATTCAGTCTTTCGGTAAGCTGTTGGTAGGCGTGCTCTTAATTGGTGAATTTCTGGTTGGCGTTAGGTGTTCTACACTCCGTTCTTGAGGCAGATATGGACGTGGTTGGGCTTGGTTCCTGCTTCAAGAAAGAACTTCTACTCCTACCTTCGAGCTGGTTATACCTGCATCGTAGTGCCTGGAGGTGTACAGGAGATGCTTCACATGGATCATGATTCGGAGGTTTGCGGCGCTGTTCTTCTTGCGTAGTCATTGATGACATTGTTGTTATCATTCAATTTATGCCGTAATGACAAACAATTCTTGCAATTGTCAGGTTGCTTTTCTGAAATCAAGAAAAGGTTTTGTTAAGATCGCTATGGAGACAGGTTCTCCTTTAGTCCCGGTCTTCTGCTTCGGACAGGTAACGGCACCTCTTCTGCCACATGATGATATGCAATATTGCAGTATCCTTGATTTCATGCATGGGTGCATAATAAATGTTGATGGAAGTGGATGGGTTGCTGACTTGAACAGGTTACCTAACTTTGAAATGAATATTTGTGCTATTGTCAATTAGAGCCTTGTGTACAAGTGGTGGAGGCCAGGTGGCAAGTTGATTGTGAAGATTGCTAGAGCAATTAAATTTACTCCAATTGTTTTCTTTGGGAAATACGGGTAATGCTCTTGAGTGCAGATATCTTCTTTTTGGTATATTTCCACTGATCTGATTTGCGTAAATGCCAAATAATTTCGATTCAGTATTCACATGTGTAAATTTGTAATACAGGACTCCCATCCCTTTCACGACACCACTTCATCTGGTTGTTGGAAGACCAATCGAGGTTCAGAAAAATCCTCAGCCTACATATGATGAGGTGAGAATCATTCTGGGCGTTTTAGCATCCGACCAAAAAAGATTGAGCAAATGTTAGATGTGATTTTTGCTATTAAACAGAACTGGAAAACAGTTAGTTAAGCACCCAAGGCCAAAATCTGGTGTGCATTTTTGTCATTCTGGACCAAGCCTTAGTTGCTCGATATGGATGTCATTTTCTAGATCTGTTTAGAGTATGAATGTATGACTTTATCATGCCGGTTTCTTCGCAACTGTGGAAATAAGTTTTGAAACCATGTTCTTGTTTAATATCCTAACATGCCTTTTTTGTTCTTGAAATGGAGGCAAAATACTAACATGCCTTGGTGTTGACAGATAAACGAGGTGCATGAACAATTTGTGGTTGCGATGCAAGAACTATTCGAAAAGTACAAGACAAAAGCTGGATATGACAAACTCGAATTGAGAGTTCTATGATGGCCGTTCCAACATCCAGCCATAGGATATTTCAAAGTTGCGTTTACAGGGTTCAGTAGCATTCAAACTGGAGTGTGTTTAAGTCAAGCCTTCGCCAGGATTTAGTAGCTCTGAATGTGTAGGAAATCCCAGCAGCTGGAATGACATGCTCACCTGGCCTTGCAAAACACATAAAATGTAAAAATTGTATACATTTGCGTGCTCATATAGCGCTCAAGAGCCAAGACACATAGGATGTACCGATTGTATATTTGTTTGCTCATAAAGCACTGAGGAGTTTCTTCACATTCATGTAAGATGTGTTTGGTTCCATTCAGACAGCAGAAAGGATCAAACTTGACAACATGTATACATGTCGGAAGGGCTATTAACCTCAGCTAGAGGGTACACATACCACATGGACATTGTTCACAAACTATTTTTCTTGAGTTAACACACAGCTCAATTGTACCACCAGTACATCTTTTCACGCCACCAAGTTCATGAAAATCCATGATGAGAGGCACCGCATCACTGGACTCGCAGCAGATGGATTTATTATTATTCAAGTACAACAAGACTCTGATCTTGGAACTACCAAGCTCAGAGCATCATGAATGTAAATTAGAACTTCTGAGACATATTACAAAACCACAACGGTTCTGGAACCAACACCAACTGTAAACACGGATCAAAATAGAGCTTGATCTGATCACCAGTTGTGTAATAACGCAGAGAAGCTCTAATGGGAAGTTGGTGCAGACGCAGGACCATCTCCGGCCACCCTTTGGGCAAACTGAACATCCTGCTTACACTCGAGCGGAGCATCGTAAATCCATAATGTGGCTATCAATAGGCCTAGTGCGAAACCAGAGTGATAGATCATGACACTGACTTTTGCTTGTGCAAGACTCAAACTATGCGACACTAAAGCACACTAACTTGGTGACTCTTCAGATGGATGCTCATCTCAGTGCCATCAAATCGTGACTCATCCCTGATTCTTAAGAGTGCCATCATGACTAATCCCCTTGGATTAGTCAACCTTACAGAGTGCTGGACTCCATTCCAGCATCCACCATATATCCATGACTTGTCAGATACAGAATCAATAATAATGCTGTATCTAAACATCGACGATCACAATCCCCCACCAGGACAGGATTTGAACCAAGCCAAACTGATAAGAGCAGCCGTCGCTCTTGAGATACTGCCCCATCCACCGGAACAGTTCATGATCTCCAGGTACATATGTCGACCATGATAAGGACAACCTGTAGAGTTACATCCCAAAAGTTACTATCAATGAGTAAGAATCAAGATGCAGGAGCTAAACCAGCATCAACAAAACTAGAATCTGTGTAACAGTTGTATTGATGAACAGACCAAAGTCACACAAGCATGCTCAAATGGGCCCAGTTAGGAGACCATTATCCAAGTGCACTTACACACTAATCGATGAATGCAAGGATGATTGCTTGATACAATACATACCTTATGAATACAAGGATGATTTTTTCCAGGTAAGAACAAGTGCTGCAAATACAGCAGCACTGTTCTTTTAGTCCTGCTGCAAACTAAAGTTACCTGGCACGGACAAAAAAATCTAGTGTCAGTTACAGCTAGGCAGTCAACACGCAAACAAGATAACAACGATCCAGAGAAAGCAAACCTCAAGGTATAAATGGTTGGGGGTGCACAGTTCAGCTTGCTCTTTAGTCTGAACCACTAGCTTGTGTAAACTGAGGTGAGTGGGCTGGTACAACTAAGTGTGGATGGGAGGGAACTGGTGCTGCTACAAAAGCCAAATAAACATACATTTTCACAAGGGCAAATAGCATGCCAGAAAAGATTCAGAAAGAAAAATGGAAAATTATATTTATGTTAGCATAATAATTCAGAGTGGAAGCATATGTTGCTTAGTGAATGCAGTTGGATCTTGAAACCATGTCTGAGTTTATTTGGAAGGATCTTTCTTTATGATGGAAAAGAAGGCCCAACAAATAGTGGAAATGTGATCTGGAGAAAGCTTACCTACTAAAAAGGGAGCCTGAATGGTGGGACGATTTGTTGGGGATGAATTAATTAAGTTTGACCCAGTGAGATGCACAAATTGATTTCCTGGCATACTGTAACCATGCATCATCGGATAGCCGTTGGCCCCACCAGAAATGGATGGGCTCAATTGGCTAAATGGTTGGTTAGCAGTATTTGCTGCAGCTGAGACACCATAAACTGGAACATATTGCTGACCAACATATGGGTTTAATGTACCCTGCAAAGAGACATTTTTTTAGAATATGCTAATCCTTAGCATGACTTGTGTTCCACAAGAATATTTAAGTTTACATGTTCACACTTTAACCTGTGGATAGATGTATTCAGTCCCATATGTGGAGTAACTGCAAAAAAGAAAGAAGAAAATGAACTGAATGTACTTCTTATGGCTTCCAAACAGTGATATTTTGCTCCATGAACTCAAGCAGTTTTGATAATTTGATCGTTTTCAAAGGAACAAGGGAAAGAGGGGAGTGGGACAGATGATAGATGGCTAACGAGGGACAAGCATATGCATAATCTACACAACGTGGGCAAATCAAATACATCTGGTCATACTTTTGTGCCCAAGTGATACATGGTGATGGGGAATTGGGAAAAAAAACTAGACAAAATACTTTGCAGAGGATGGTTGCATTCTAAATTCTAATTTGATCGTTTACATCTTTATTAAATGAAGTACTCCCTCCGTAAAGTACAAGAGCATTTAGATCACTAAAGTAGTGATCTAAACGCTCTTATATTTCTTTACAGAGGGAGTACCTTGGTAGTTAAAACCAGTAAAAGAATTGCAATCTATTTAAATTTTGCAAATTCAAGGGTATAAACATGAACAAATTATACTAAAAAATGGTGAAGAATCGGCCTAAAAAGAACATGAAAGTCGTGAACAGACAATCTAGGGACAAGATGGAACTTCTAAATACTTCGTCTTACATGCCAGTTTGATAGCATCATTGATACATCGTCAACCCACTGAATTTTCTTAAAGCTTGCGTTTTTAAACAAGTTGTACTGTATGTTCTGGAAATAATCTTACCTGTATTGTGGAACCGGGAATCCCTGGTACTGGTAGTACCCAATCGGAAGTGGTCGTTGCTGACCATAACCCCCTACATAAATGCCCCTTGGAACGGGAACACCAAAGTAGGAGCCAGCTGATCTTGGCCGCCCTATATAGAATGCATGTTTTAGAACACATGCATATAGAAAGGACACTATTATTACCACATAAACAACCTTTTGATAAGCAAACCCTAGCCCTTTCCTACCCATAGTTGAATTCTTGATTTACTTTGCAACATGATGAGGGTTAACTGAATTCCAGAGTAAGTCACTAAGCACCATGGACTCATGTACTAGTCATGTTACAACTTTTGTTAGGGAGACTCGTGGTAGAACTGATTGATTTAGATTGCACAAGACAACATCAATAAGCAACAACTATGCTGCATTAAATTGCAAACAATAGTAACTACTTTGATGAAATGGCCTCAAAACGTGCGTACAAGCTATTCCAAATAGGTAGTATTAGAAGAGAATAATACCGAGGGGTGTGGAAGGCTGGGCACGCCCTAGCGACGCCAGGTTACAGTTGGCCCGCCTGCCATCGATGACCGGCGACGGTTCCTCGCAGGCCTTGGTGGCCGCCTCAGCATCGCGGAACGTCACCTGCGGAGACGAGCATGAAAGTCGTAAACAATCCAGCACTGCTACAGCGTTTCCAGAAAGACTAACAGGTGGAAGCAGAATTAGGAGGAGGAGCGGGCACTGACGAAGCCGTATCCTTTGGAGCGGCCGGAGTGGCGGTCGGTGATGACGACGGCCTCGAGGATGTCCCCGAAGCGCTCGTAGAAGCGGCGGAGCCTCTCGCTGGTGGTCTCCCAGGCGAGGCCCCCGACGAAGAGCTTGGTGTGGGTGGTGTCCCCGAAGGGCGAGGCCGGCAGGTGCAGCCCCGAGCTGGAGCTGGACGCCGACGCCGACCCGGACGCCGACCCCGCGTGGTGCTGGTGCAGGGCCATCCGGGAGGCGCGAGCGGATCGGCGGGATTCCTTGGCGCGGGTCGGGGGGGATCTTCGGTCGCCGCGATTCCG